ATTGATATTTTTTTTTTTTTTTTTTTTTTTTTATTACAAATGTGTCTATTGTTTGAGGTATTAAAAATAGACGGAATATTAGATCAATAGAAATAAGTAGAAATATAATGCTATTATTTGTACACAGAGTGTTTATGTTACTCTGAGCTTTATCAAATTTAAAAAAAAACGGGGGAAGAAACATTTGTTTAATTAATATAAGTCGATAATATAGGATTAATTGTTATTAGATGTTATTGTAAGGTGCTACAGCACATATAGTAGTTATATCTTACATATGGTGAGACAACAGCGGGTCAACAAGAAATATAATCGAGTAGAGACAGGAGCTAAGCAATGATGGCAGCAGCACCCAGTGGAAATTTCCATTGCAGTTGGAGTGTCGACCTAAGTACAGTCAACTACAAAATTAATAGATTTTATCGACTATTAACTATTTTATTAATTGATTTTATGACCAATTGGTGGTCATTCACTTTATGGAAATGTGTCAGTTATTATCGATAAATAAATTATTCTCAGATAGCAAATTAATTACATAAATTATTTTACGGGAGTTTATTTGTAAAAATTTGAAATCTCATTTTTTTTACAAATACATTATTTTAATCTTCCAAGAAATATTATTATGAAACAATGGAATGATATTATATAGTATATATATAATACTGTAACTTAAATTGGGAAATCAGTTATTAATCACCGTAAATGATAAATTTATCAAAATTTTTGTATCAGTTTTAGAAATTCATTTACTGATAAATCAAATCTTTTTATTGTTTTTATTATTTTTTTTTTTTTTACAAATCAATTGTTATAAATTAATAACTATAAAATTTTTATTATATTTTAATTCTTATTAGTTCATGTTAACAGATTAGTCAAAAAATTGAGCGTGTGTAAGAATATTCTCATTTTTGAACAATTGCGCGATATTTTTCGGGGAATTACTAAGTAAATAGTGTCACGCAGCAGAAGTGTGATTCTAGCTCAGCATACATTGTCATTGGCATTCCAAACGTGAGAAAATATCACGCTAAAATTACTAAGCCTTATATTTAGATAAATTACAAGCGCATTCGATTACAAAAGAACTTTTTCAAAATTTTAATGACATTTTAATGCGCAAAACATCAACTTAACAAGAAAAATGTTTGAACAAATAAGTATCGATAAATTTTCTGAATTGTTTAAAATGATAAAAACAGTAATATGTGAATCCTTATATTCCAGGTTGGGGAATTCTGTTACTTTATTGCAAACTATGAGCTGGCAGAACACTTATATAGCGATAATTCTGAGTATATCTTGCAGTGATGTGAAAAGAAAGTCAATATGGAATTTTTTTTTGTCGATGAGTCAGGTATTTAAAACTTGACTGATGGAGAAAATTTCCTTTTATCATTTTTTTTTTTTTTTTTTAAATGCTTCGTCCTATTCCCATTAATTTTATTATTTGTAATTAGGACTACAAAGCATTAAAATATAAATGAACAAAAAAACATTTACATATGAAAGAAAAAGATATCGAATTGATGACTTAGATAAGTGATAAAAATTAGAAGTTATTACTACGATAATTAAATGAATCACTAACAAAATATTCTGGAAAATTTTCGAGTATAGTGTAATTAAAGATATTATATTTTTTTTTTTATCGAGTTACCGGATTCTTTATTTCAATAAACTATTTATGTCAATACGACTAGATTATTATTATTACTCAATTATGTCTGTTTATTTAATTCCTTAGCTACGCAATTGAAGAAGTGGTCACGTATTAATGATAATACTTTTAGTTTGTTGATTACATGTTTATCTTAAATGTGTTTGTAAACATATAATGTGTCTGAGATTGATAATTATTAGGTTTATTTTGTTAAAAAATTCTTGCAATTTCAATTATGCTGATTATACAGTCAGATTACTGACTGAAGAGTTGCAACAAAACCTTTTTGTAGTGTCGAATAATATTTTATCAAGTTGATCAGCCAAGATAAGTTTTTTTTTTTTTTTTTTTATTTTATCAATTCAATTAGGCTTTACTTTTACGACTGACGGAAAGTTTTTTTTAATGAATTTATTATATTGTTTTTGTAAATAACATTATTTTTTTTTAGTATAAAAAGTTTAATTTATAAATTTACTGAGTATAAAAATAATTTAAATGCAGTGTAGGGGTAATTGTTATTAATTGAAAAATTAAGTGCCATTTTCATTATCCACTTATTTGCTATAAATGGTAAAATATGGAATTGTTTTACTATGGTATTATTTTGTATCGGAAAAAAGATATTCATTTTCACTTTATTGTACATGATCGTATTTATATTTTTTGATTAGTATCGAGAAACTCAATTCTTTAATAAATAAATTTAAAAAATAAGAAAACTTGCTTAAGTTTTTGAAGCGTATTATTATTTGAGTAAGGTTCAAAAACTAAATTGTATTGGAAGGTATCAGAATATTCTAGAACTATTTAGAAAATTATGGAGATAATACTGGCATTCTTTATTTAATACTTTTGAAAACTCGAAAAATTTGTATAGAAAACATTCCAGATAAATATGAAAATTATTAAAACGATTTCGAAAATGTTAAAACATAAAACATAGTTCATGCATTTTAATATTAGTTTTTGAAATGAAATATTCTAATAGAAATTTTTTTCTAAATATCACGTTAATTTTTTTTTTACTCACCTTTATTTTATATTTTGAAAATGAAACTAACAGAATGTGATATCTCTTTAGAATATTTCAATATTTATCAGATCTTAAAATATTTGGCAAGCTTAGTAAAAACTTTCAAATTAGACTTACGAAATTTGCAATAAAAAATTACAAATATGCCATACTATAATAAAAATATACTTTTGAAGACAGATAATCAAAAAATTTATTATTTTGGGTTTTTTCTTTAATTGAATGTGATTTTAAGTACAATTATAGATATTAAGTTAAGAGTAGATTTTTTTTTTTTTTTTTAATTACAAAATCATAAAATATTTAGTAATGACGAATAAATAGGTAAAGTAAGCATAAAAAGGCTTTAGAATCTGCAAACATTCGAATATTTTTCATTTTCACTTAACAAATAAATTAGTATTAAAAAAGTATCCTAAAAAAATTGGATTTATAGTTTTTTTCCAAGTGAAATTTTTAATTCTAATTTTTTTTTGTCGTAATATACCTATTGGTTAAAAAAATCAAAAAAATTATTAAATGTCTGATAATTTTATATTCACGGAATAAAAAAAAAGCGCCATTCGGTCATAGCCGACGTGCATAGATCGATTTCTTGGACGAATATAAAGAAAAAATGAGAATTTGTCATGAAATATAAGAGTTATTTGATGTTAAAAACCCAAAATACATTTATTAAAATATATTTTCAAATTTTCAAAATGAATGGAAAAAAATCATCAAAATAATAAAATGTATAATTGGCGCGTTACATAACTTGTATACAAATTTTTGGACCGGGGCTATTTTTCAGTATAATTTAATAAAATATATACGAAATCTTCGAATAATACGATAATGCATTTAAAAAAGTACTCCAAAATTTGAAACTCCGTTTTAAATATAAAATTTTTTAGAGTGTTTAAAGTTCCCAAATCTGTTATTTCTGATAACATAATTCACATTACATGCAATTAGGCAATTTACTTATTTTAGAATTAGTTTTTTATTTTTCAACGTTAAACATTATACGTTTAGTAATAAAAGTCTAATGACAACTTACGAAAGCTAATAAATTTCGACAGTCTTCATACAATAAATGACAAAAGTTGTTTGTTCGGATAGTTCTTGCAGGTTTATCAGCGGCAGTTCAAGAAATTTCTTATACATTTTATTAATATATCTTATTTTTAATATTAAAATAGTACCCGTGTTCATATACATGTACCGTAAACGTGAATATTTAATCATCAAAATTATTTACAATCATGTATGAATTTATATCCTTTTTTATCTCAAAATAAATTATAAAAATTTTTTATTTATGTACTCAAGATTTCTTTGAAATATTTTTTCTTTTATTTTAATATTTTTAAAAAGAGTTAGTTTGGATTTTAAACTCTGCTATATATAGTATACTTTCTTGTGCTGATTTTAAATTTCCCGCTAAAATTTTTTAAAGGGTGCGCATGTTTAACATTACGAAATATTTCCATATAATGATATACATAAGTATCAATTAAAAAAATCAAAAAAAACTATAAATTAATAATAATATATATAAAAATATGCTTTTAAAGCTTTTAAATAAAATATATTATTATTGACAGCAGATAAAATGGTAGTGATGCGCATCACGCAAAAAAAAATTATTTTTTCATTGGCAACTAACTTCAAGTCATTCGGATAACCATAACTTCGTGTCGAATTGTCGAAAATTCATTGCTCATATCTTTCAGATGTAATGTCATAACATTTAATAATAACAATATTAACTAATTTATTAGACTTATTGCTTAATTGATGATAAGTAGTAATTGTATCAATATGGTTAGTGAATAAAATAAAAATAATAACGACGATTAAATGAAATATATTCAATAAAGTATTTATCGATGAAATATTGTCGTGTCAAATGTAGTGGGTGGTTATAAAACGAAAGTGCCAATGAATAAAACTATATTTATTTGATTCATTACATGATTCATCAGTTTAATCTATTTAATTTAATACAACGTAATTATTTTTTATAATTAATCAAAAAAAAATAATGTCAATTTTGTTTGGATAGGTTAATTTTTATTTGGTGAAACAATGTGATTATAATTAGGTTTGAATACTTATTTGCTTACGATAATTGACGTAATTGAATGAATTAGTGAATTAGCATTGATGTCAATGATGAGTAAAATGACTTTACTATCTTTAAATAAATCCATTTCAAGTCCAGTTTTGAATAGATTGTTTTTTAAAATTAATACGTTTCATCGGTTTACGTGAAGATTTTTGTGTAAGAAATCAGTAAAGAGCTAAAAAATGTCTACTATGAAATTAAGTATGCAAGATAAAAAGGATTTAGACAAATTTATGAAATTTTTGGCTTTTAAAACTGCCCAAATAATAGTGCAGTCAAGGTCTGGTGAAAAAGTTATCACTAAATGTAAACCAGACTCATCAGGTGCTGACTGGGTTAGTAAATTTATATAGTTTTATTTTATGAAAATTAAGTTAGCCGACATCTAAAAATTTTAACAATTTTTTTAATTAAAAAAAAAAAATTTTCAATTGTAAAAAACTTAAATAACTATCAGTGCATTTTTTTAAAAATATTTTTTAGTTCTAATTTAATAAATGAAAAATAATCAAAAAATTAAAAATGTCGGCTAACTCTAGTATTATTTTTATTTTTTTATTTTATATAATTAATACTATGAATTATTATTTTAATTATGTTTTCATGTTTTTACAGTTTAATTTGGCAGTTCATGATCTTCCTGAAGTCTTAGCAGAAGCCAAAAAAGTACTGTGTGGTGAGGCAATAAGTTCTTCGATACCATTGTGTATCGAAATATCATTAAGGACAGTAGAAGGCGACACGATGGTCCTAGAAACATGGAGTTTGGGTGTTTTACCTGAACAAAGTGATCCTACTATAAGAGTTACCTACACCGTTTATAATAGAATGGGAATTTTACTTAAATCATTACTTTCGATATCACGAGTTACGCCTGCTTATAAATTAAGTCGCAGACAAGGACCAGATTCTTATGTTATTTGTTATAGAATTTATATGGGTGAACCGCAGCTTCATACATTAGGTATATAAATTTATAATTTTATTTTATTATCATAAAATAATGATAAATACCTTTTATTTAAAATTACGACTGCTAATTTCTGCAAGAATATCTATATAATGATTAAATTCTATTAAATTATAAAATATTATATGACGATAACTTAACACAGTTATTAACTTTATTACTGTCAATAACATAAAAAAGAAACAATCTTCTATTTAAACTAATTAAGATATGAGTAAAGTCCGATACAAGTTTTTTTTTGTTAACATACATTTAAAATCATTATTCATATCAATAATTGTTAAAGTAACGTTTAGTATCGGTGGCTAGTTATGTATTCATTTAATGGTACATTTTTATTAGTTATCTATTAGTTTCATTATCAGTATCTTCAATATTTATAAGGACCCAATACTTTATTTCACTGAAGAATGTAAAATAATATAATGTTTTGTAGCTTGTAATATTTTTGCAGGAATTTAGTAGTCATTTAATTGATAAATTTATAAAAATAATAATATCCAATATTAATTCGATTTAATTATTAATATTTAAATTCATTACATTAATATCTGAAAACTTAATTTTTTTGAGTAATTGATTATATAAGTGTTTTGTAATCTAAAAAATACAAACTATTCAATATAAATTTAAATTGAAAAACTTTCATATACAAAAATATATTTTCTTTAAATTTAAATTTTAATATACTATTCGATACAGCGCATAGTTTATTTCATTTTATAAAATGCTTATTCAGTAAAATATGTTACACTTTCTAATTATCATACTTTCTCACTTAAAATGTCACTGACTTATTAATTTTATCATTTAAGTCAACTGTTTATTTTAAATATTTATATAATACAACTAAAGATTATAAAATATTGGAATTTCTAGTAAGTAATTAATATTTTCAATGGTAATAACTGATTATAAATCAAAAAATTTTTTTTTTAATTAAAAAAAAAAATAAAAATGAAAACTATAGTTATTAAAAAACAATATTGTTTCAGGAGATAATTATAAACACATAAGAGTTGGTCAACTTTGTACTCCTGTCGGTACAATTCATTTATCAGTATCCTATCGGACTAAAATGACGATATCACCCACGCACACAAGCCGAGATTCTATAATGCTTAAAAGTGATCACTTTCACTCGGATCTTAGTCCAAGACACGCTAGATATCAGCAGAGGTTGTTATTTAAATAAATAAACTATTTATCAACTTAAATACCTTGACGACTAAATTAAAATATGGTTTATTTCAGTGAAGAAATATCAAAATCATTAAGTGATACAATTAAAGTGGGGGCCTTTGTTGTTAATAAGCAAGTTGTTGTAAATGAACAAGACTTAGTTATACCGGATGTACCGTTTAGTTCATTATTAACTCCTAGACAAACATCACCACCTCTTGGTCTTATACCTGACAACATATCGAATCCTCCAACGTCAACGACTGCTACCGCAACATCTGTTTCTGCTTTAACTACTGGTACGGCTGCTGGTTCGGTTACCACAAGTACTCCATTGAGCAGTGTTGTTGGAGCTACTTTGGATACCAACAACGGAAATAATGATAAGTCATCGACGATTGACAATGCTACATTTAAGTGTAATTCGAGAAATGGATCAAGACGGAGTAGCTGTTCCATTACCAGCGCTAACGACGATTTCATTATGGTAGACTTGGTAATTATTTATGCTCATGCCAAAAAAAAATTTTTTTTTTTTCTTAATTTGATTTGTCTTTAATTAGGGTAAATACCCCAATAGATGGACGGTTAAGCAAACTCTCGTGTTCTATTAAAAAAACAATATAGTAATATACGGATAAGTTGTGATAAAGTAAATTATATTTATGTAAAAATATATAATTAACCAGGAAAAAATAAGTAAAACTTCGTAAAACGTTGTAGTAATTAATAAAAAAGAAAAATGTAAGAAAAAGTCCAAAACCCCAATAGATGGACAAAATCTCCAGTAGATGAACAGTCAATACCAATAGATGGACACTACTTACAAGCGATATTTTCAATTCATTATTTATATCAGAAATAATTAATTCATTAATTTTTTCCACTAAAAAATAAAGCTTGATAAAATTAAAGAGAAAAGGTGATAAATCGGATAGTAATTTTCAAAATACATCATAAAGTAATTTTATTATTTTTGAATACGTGATGCTTTCTCAAGCAAAGTAACATATAAAATATATTAATATAAAAAATACTAATAATTAACAAATAATCAATATAAATTTATAAAACACAATGTTAAAAATATTTTATGTTGTCTTCTTCTTCCTTTTAATAAGTCTGTTCTCTTTTGCTTCCAAATTTCCTTCGCACAATTTTCTCTTTTATTCAGCGTTTTTTTTTTTTCTCTTCAATTTCTTCAATAATCATAATAATACTTCCATTTTCAGTACATGTCTGTTTATTATAATCTTTACTCTTATTCTCACATTGATCCACCAAGAAAATTAAAAAAATAAGAAAATTCATCATAAACTTAATGTCCATCTATTGGATAGAGGTCAGAAAAGTGTCACCAATAGATAGACTCTAAATTTTATTATTTTTTTCGATTTTATCATTAAAGTATTATATGTTATATTTCTAACTTTGTTAGTGAAATATAATATAAAAAAAATTACTTTTCGCTCTCAGAACTATATGTAGTTATAAAAAAAAATAATGACTTAAGATTTTCGTTCTTAAAACTAATGTAATTGCTTCTGGAAATAATATTTGTCCATCTATTGGGGGGTGTCCATCTATTGGGGTATTTACCCTACAATAACTGCTTGCAACTGATGTATATTACTAATCTGTGTTATTTACTGATATTGAAATTAAAAAATATTATTTATTTATTTTTTAATTAGAAAACTCCTTTTGCTGGCACTAATACAAATAGCGATTTGGGTACTTTTTATCGTGAATGCCAGAGTGCACCGCAACTTCAAACATTCTTGGAAGAAGAAAGAACATTAGCTGAACAAGTCGGTGATCTTACTAAGCAACTAGAGACATTTGAAATTAATCAGCAAAAGTATAAGGATATCCTTACAACATTGTGTCAAACTGATAATAATAATCAGTAATGAATGTGTGGAATATATATACACATAGTAGATTATTTAGATATTTAATTATTTATAAGATATATATAGATCGACTGAATTTTACTTAAGTAAAATATTTTTAAAAAATTTATCGAAAATTATTTTATAGAAAGTATAAAATATAGTTTCTCATAGTTATTTTGTATTATGCATAGTCATATATTTTTTTCGAATTAAATATAAATATATTTAGATAATGAAAAGCACCAATAATTTATCATTTTTAATAATTGAATCATTGAAGAAAATTTATATTGGAATTGTATATAATTTTTTTTTTAAAAAAATCGATTGGTGCTTTTGAATGATTAAAATGATTTTATTTTTTTTTTTTTTTTTTTTGTAATTATGTATTGTATGAATCAGGAAGTTTATTTTGAATTTATTTATTTTTTGCAAAATTTAAAACTAGTCTGTAGTAAAATTGGCTTTAAATAAATGTAATGTCATTTATGAATATCATTATTAGTCATTATAAAATAAATAATGAAAAAAAAAAGTTTTGCGCGCTGGGCTTTGATATGCAATCAATATTTAACGAGACTTGGTATAATAGATTAATTTTGCATCTATTATAACGTAATTTAACAAATTTTAATCGAAAGATGATTGAAATTAGCCTAACGATTATTTTTAATTAATCAAGAGTGTAAAAGTTTCGATTTTATCATTAAAGTATTATATGTTATATTTCTAACTTTGTTAGTGAAATATAATATAAAAAAAATTACTTTTCGCTCTCAGAACTATATGTAGTTATAAAAAAAAATAATGACTTAAGATTTTCGTTCTTAAAACTAATGTAATTGCTTCTGGAAATAATATTTGTCCATCTATTGGGGGGTGTCCATCTATTGGGGTATTTACCCTACAATAACTGCTTGCAACTGATGTATATTACTAATCTGTGTTATTTACTGATATTGAAATTAAAAAATATTATTTATTTATTTTTTAATTAGAAAACTCCTTTTGCTGGCACTAATACAAATAGCGATTTGGGTACTTTTTATCGTGAATGCCAGAGTGCACCGCAACTTCAAACATTCTTGGAAGAAGAAAGAACATTAGCTGAACAAGTCGGTGATCTTACTAAGCAACTAGAGACATTTGAAATTAATCAGCAAAAGTATAAGGATATCCTTACAACATTGTGTCAAACTGATAATAATAATCAGTAATGAATGTGTGGAATATATATACACATAGTAGATTATTTAGATATTTAATTATTTATAAGATATATATAGATCGACTGAATTTTACTTAAGTAAAATATTTTTAAAAAATTTATCGAAAATTATTTTATAGAAAGTATAAAATATAGTTTCTCATAGTTATTTTGTATTATGCATAGTCATATATTTTTTTCGAATTAAATATAAATATATTTAGATAATGAAAAGCACCAATAATTTATCATTTTTAATAATTGAATCATTGAAGAAAATTTATATTGGAATTGTATATAATTTTTTTTTTAAAAAAATCGATTGGTGCTTTTGAATGATTAAAATGATTTTATTTTTTTTTTTTTTTTTTTTTTTTTTTTTGTAATTATGTATTGTATGAATCAGGAAGTTTATTTTGAATTTATTTATTTTTTGCAAAATTTAAAACTAGTCTGTAGTAAAATTGGCTTTAAATAAATGTAATGTCATTTATGAATATCATTATTAGTCATTATAAAATAAATAATGAAAAAAAAAAAAAGTTTTGCGCGCTGGGCTTTGATATGCAATCAATATTTAACGAGACTTGGTATAATAGATTAATTTTGCATCTATTATAACGTAATTTAACAAATTTTAATCGAAAGATGATTGAAATTAGCCTAACGATTATTTTTAATTAATCAAGAGTGTAAAAGTTTTTAAATATATTTATAAATGATAAATGAAGCTTAAATATTTATGAATTTAAAAAGAAAGATTAAGTATAAATTACAGCTAAAATGTTAATGATAAATTTATGTAAAAAGCTGTAACTTGTTGATTAAAATGCTATCATCTATTAATTTACGAGTGCTTGAGTGCTAAGACTTTCTATTATATTTTATAAATTTTCATAATTTACATAATGTACATATTGTAAAAACTATATTATATATTGAATCATGAAATGTTGTAATATTTATTATTTAAGTAATAATTCATATAATAATTATTGTTTTGAATAATAACTTATATATATATCTATAGCATACCAACTTTTATATTTATTTATTCCTCAATATTTCTATGAAAATGAAGTTAGCTGACATTTCAAAATTTTTAGAAATTTTATATTGAAAAAATTTAAATTAAACAATTAAAAAAAAATTTCACATATAAAAAATTTGAAAAACTATAAGTGCAATTTTTTATAAATATCTTTTTAGTTGTAATTTAATAAAAAAAAAAAAATCAAAAATTTTTAGACGTCTGCTTTAAGTGTCATATATTTCTTGGTGAATTTTAAAGATTTTTAAAATCCAATAAAATTGTTTATAAATAATGCAGAGTTTTCATGAAAGAGAAAATGTAAATATTAACCTAAAAGTAGTGAGGATCGAAGTTAAATTCTAAAATTCTATAAATTAATATATGATAGAAATAAATAATTTTAATTATTTTTATCATATAGGATATAAATTGTAATTACGAAGTGTATATAATTAAAAATAATTTATTTTAATAATACTTTGATGATATTTAAAAATGCAGTGGCAATCGTTGCTTGATAATATTAATCGTAAAGTAGCAACACCTAGTTTAATAGGAGAAATTAATGATAATAGAAATGAATTTAAATTAATATCACTAATTATGTCTAATTCGACAATAAAGTAAGTTTAATTTTTTTATTATTACATTCATAATACACAAAATTATGTGCCATAACTTCCTGTTTATTTTTTGTGTTTATTTATTTATTTACTCTGAATGAGAACTTGACTCTGATACATGTTTTTGAAATAACAATTTTATCATAAAATATTTTGCAATAATTGACGAATTATGGAAACATTTCTAATAATTGTAATTACGAAATTCTAATATTATACATAAATTAGAATATAGAAAAATTTTATGAAAATTAAGTTAGCCGACATTTAAAAATTTTTAGAATTATTTTTATTGAAAAAATTATTACAAAAAAATTAAAAAAAAAAAATGTCACTTGTAAAAAACTTCAAAAACTATAAGTGATATTTTTTAAAAATAGTTTTTCGTATTAATTTTATTATTAAAAAAAAATCAAATAATTAAAAACGTCGGCTAACTTTAGTATCATAAAATTTTACAACAGTTTGGTTACACGATTAGTGTATTTACGCAAAAAAAAAATCATAAAAAGAGAAAGAATCACAATAATAACAAATGATACTGAAATTAGCAGACATCTGACAGTTCTGAGAATTTTTATAACCAATCAATTATTTTAAAAAATTTGCACTTAATTTTTTTTAATTTTTACATGTAGAATTTTTTTGCTAAAAAAAACTCTAAAAAATTTATAGATGTCTGTTAAATTCAGTATTATTAAAAACAATATTTTTAATTATTGATAAAAACTTGTCAAATGGGAAGTTTGTAGAATTTGAAAAAAAATCACAAATACGTCATTACTTTTTCTAATTTTTTATTTCAGTAAGCATTAATGAATTTATTTACAATAAAATAAAAACTTTAGCTGCTCATTTAGGTTTACTTTGTAGATTAATTTTTTATGAAGCAAAACATTTTAGTATCTTAAAAAATTTTTCAACTTAAGGTACTCTAAAGGTAATTTCATTGATATCCAGGTCTTTTTTTAAGTTTAGAATTTAATAGTTTAGAAAATTGTGAGCAAAGGAAGTGTAATTATTTCAAACAAATTTTTATATACTTTAGAAAATAGAATAAAACTTGAACTCGAAATACCAATTTTTGGGAAATTATTTTTTAAATTTGCTTTTTGTACTAAATGCGACTTGAAAGTTTTGAGGTAAAAATAAAAATGAACAAAAATATTTTTTATTCGGTATGAAATGATTCTTATATTAAAAATAAGTAACTTTAATTAATTGAAATTATTTTCTATAATTACAGAATTTTATTTATCAAGTACTATGTATTTTCCTTAGCTTTTAGTTCTATAATTTATGAAATGACAATTTGTGTATTTTAAGCTTGTACAAATTATTATCACTGTATTACAATAATAACACAGAAATTTTGTTATCATTGGTGTCTAACTCTTTAATTTTACGATAAAAAAAGATAAAGAAACTCAGTAAAGTAAAATGTTTTAGAATTAGGTATATATATATGAAATAATTTTTATTTTTAATAGAATAACAGTCATTTAAAATTAGATTATTTATTTATTTTTTTTTCAATGAATAATAGATGTGTTTGACTCGCTGCTATTGTCATTTTTTTAAAATAGTATCAGAATATTTCATGCATGATAGAATATTTAAATGAAAATATTTTTTTGGTTGTAAATTATTTAAATAGAAAAATGAATATTACCATCGAGTAATATACTGTCCATAAATTTTTATTACTTCACCCTCGAGGCACAGAATACATTAATTTGATTTGAATAATAATGAAAAAAATAACGTATTGAAAATTATTTTTGTTACAGTGAATTAATAATATCATGGCTCGAAAAACAAAATAAAATGAAAATAACAAAATGCACTGATCAAGCTAAACGGCTAAAAGATAAAGGCAATTTATATTTTAAAGAAAAAAATTATTTAGCAAGTATTGACTCATATACAGACAGTGCTAAATATGCTGACTTTTATAACGGTGATTTTTCAATAGCCCTCGCTAATCGTTCAGCTGCATTTTTTTTTATGAGTAGGTACGACGTAAGTAAAAATGTTATTTTCGATAAATTATTTTTACTATATTATTTATTATTATTATTTTTTTTTTTTTTTTTACAATTATTTAATGTCTTTTACAGCAATGTTTGGAGGATATTGCGGTAGCGATTCAATCAAATTATCCAAAAAAGTTAAAATATAAATTGCACTTAAGAGCCACTCAATGTTATATTAAATTACACAAGTTCCATCAAGCCACCAAAGAACTTTCTGAAGCTGAAAAATTGATTAAAAATGCCGAAGACATTTCAAAGAGCTCTAGAGGTAAAATAAAAAAAAAATTGATGTAAAATTATAAACTTTTTTAATAATCTATAAAAAATGTTATAACTCGTAGGTTCTCATTTGAAAAAATTTAACATAAGTTAATTATTTTTTACAAGAATTATTTTTTTTTCAATTTTTCGCAGAAAATTTAATGAACCAAATTGAAAATTTATCATCTCAAATTATCGAGGGATCTGAAAAGAACTTTCAATCTAGTAATTTAAGAGAAAACAAGTTACATAGTCATAAATATTTATTTAATCCTAATGAATTACTCCCATTAAACATTAATTTCCCATCCGCCTCATCTAAATTAAGTCGTGAGTATTCACCGACAAGAGGAAGACATGTTATAGCTAATGAATCAATACAAAAAGGGGATGTACTTTTTGTTGAAAAACCATTTGCGTTTGTTCCATTAGATAATGCTACTTCTGATATTTTATGTACACATTGTTGTGGTTTGATTACTGACTCAGCAATCCCGTGAGTATATTTAATTGGTTTTAACTAATTTAATATTTAATTAACAGTTAATTGACCGTTTGAAAAGTCGACTTATAAATATTTAAAAATTTTGTGCTGAAGCATCCAAAAGTACTTTAATCAGACATATTAATTGAGGATAACTGTTCTAATTTCAACGTCTGATGTTAATTTAAAAATCAACAGAGTATAAATAATATGAAAAGGAAACTATATCTATTTTAGGTGTAGAAGTTGTTCGAGTATTTTATACTGCAGTCGTGAATGTTGGATGAAGTCGTGGTCTTATCATAAGTTTGAATGCTCTGGATACCAATCAGAAATATGGAAGCAAATTGGAATAGCTCATTTAGCGTTGAAATCGTTATTAATATCCGTTGAAACGGATGACGTTACGAGATTTAACGATGTAGAAGAACTTGTTACCAATATCGATAAATTAAACTCGGAGGATTTAATAATGTACAGTGTTGTACGTATATATTTCTTTACTATCACTTTTACTTAAAATTAATTTTATTTTTTATTTTTTAATTACAACTTGAGTACTAAAAAAAAAACTAGAAGAAAATTTATAAAACTTTATTTAATTGAAATATTATTATTTAGGCAGCTATGATGTTAACCCTTTATTTAAAAAAGTACACGGATTTTTTTACCATAATTGACATAAAAAAATGTTTGATTGATAAATTTAAAAGTGGCAATCTCAGTTTTCCTTTTGACAATTCAAGTGAGGAAAGTCAAAAATTATTTATTGGTTCTATAATTTTGCGGCATATGCTTCAGTTGATTGCTAATGGTCACGCGATCACGCGACTTAATTTAACTACTGCTGTAGGAGCTGATGTATTCGAAGAACAGCAGCAAAGAATTGCCGTTGGAATTTATCCGTCAGCCAGCATGATGAATCATTCTTGTGATCCTACAATACTAACAACGTAAGTACTTACCTACATTCAAGATGTTAATTACAGTTATTAAAATACAATCTTTTATTCTCTTTTCTTTTATTACTTTTTTTTTTTTTGTTAATGTTTCAGATTTTCAAATGATTACCTTATTGTCAAAGCAATTAAAGACGTTGTGAGTGGTGAAGAAGTATTTAATTGCTATGGTATATTATTATGAATAATTATAATTTATTAAACTTAAATTTAATGAAGAATAAAAAATTAATATGGTTCATTTTTTTATTTAATAATAGGTCCGTATTTTCGACGAATGCCGTTTGAAGAACGTCAAAAAGCTTTGAAAGATCAGTATCGTTTTGATTGTAAATGCAAACCATGTACAGATCCTGATCTTAAACAATTTTTGGTAAGTTATTTTTTTTTTAAATCTATGAGTAGTCAAAATAAAAATAACATAATGATATTTATATTTATAAACTAATTTTTTTTCTATAAATAAAATAATGGTAATAATAATAATAAATAAATAAATAGATAGATAGATAGACATGATCAGTTATCGCTGGTAACGATGTATTAAAATCAGAATTGAATTTTTCTTACTCTATTAATTAAATGAATCTGATCTATGTATAATTATTACAAAGGAATTGAAATTAAATTTTTTTATTTTGCATATACTTAATTATTGTTGAACAAATTTATTTAAAATAATTTTATAAATACTATAAAAAAATTAAAATATCGCATGAGTTTGATAGTTTTTAATGTAAACTCTTGCAAAAAACAATTGCCAAAGCATAATCATTGACTTAAAAATGTAGCTTTGAAAAAATCGAATCTTACATTAAAAAAAAAAAAAAAAATGGTTTGAGCGCTCTACAATTATATTTAAGTGTATGATCACATCTTCATCGACGCACGTTTGATCCTTTGAAAAATTCATAAAAATATTTTCAATATTTTATTTTTGACAAAATTGGAGAAAAAATTTCCAACCTAACCATGTACTTAAATTTAGTTTTATTCTTGATAATAATATATTTAAAATAATATAGGATCGCTTCACCGGTGTTAAATGTCCAGAATGTAATGGACCGCTGGAAAAATCCATAACTCATTTATCTCGTTGTTTAGACTGCAATGCATCGAGCAAAATAGACATTGATATGCAAACAGAACTGAAAACTGCTAATGATTTGTCCACATCAGCACAGGAATATTTACAAATGGGGAAAAATAAAGAAGCAATTGATTATTTAAAACGTTGTTTAAATATTCGACAAAAATGGTTATATAAATATCATGATGACATAGCAATAACACTCGATAATTTAGCAAAAATTAATATAATAATGGGTAATTTGTTAAACTCGATGCCGTATCTTGAACAAAATCTCGCTATTGTTGACAAAAAGTTTGGAAATGAAAGTATTGAAGCCGCTAATGAAATTAACAAGATCACAGACGTCAATATACAATATTTGCAACAAAATGATAAACATTCTAAAACTTCAATTTACAAGTAATTAGTAATTAATTTATAATAATAATATTAATAATACGTTAATTTTGGTACTATTACTACTATAAAATTATAAAAGTTTTAATTGTTTTTTTAATATATATTTTTTTATTTATATTTTTAGGGATACTTTAAAAAATACTCAAGATCTCATTGATCGGGGAAGGAAAATAATGAGCATAATAGCTGGTCCTTGGAATGAAATCTATCAGGAATTAACTAATAAAAAAAATCAATTGTTAATGTTAGAATGTTATATCTAGATAGTGTTTTAATTTTTTAAACACAATTACTATTCTTTATCATTCCAAAAAAATAAATTAAAAAAAAATTCATTTATTTATGTAGTATTCATTATATATCATAAAAGTATGGTGTTATATCAAATCACAAGGCAAAATCCAATATTCACATATTTGGTACAATCATACAGCGTACCGTCGAAAAGTTTAAATGAATATTTTTATTTATTCTCTTATTAATTTTAAATTAATTATCGCTCGTTTTCTCTTATTTCTAGTCTTCTAAATAAGAAAACAACAAAAAATAAAATAAATGGAACAAATTGTTAATTGAATATATAATTTATGTATATATTATATATATATATATATGTATATATATAAAAAATGTTATATATTAATGACAAAATAAAATATTTAAAGAACAAAAGTTTACAAAATTTAAATGTGTATCTCTAAAAGATATGAAAATGTTTAGGAATGTATAACATAATTCCATTGCATAAATAATCAAAATTTTAAGTTTTTAATAACTTATAAGTTCGATTATCTATTCAATTTATAAAATTTTTTTATGCATTCGTTTTTTTTTTATTTATTTTTTACGATATATTTTATATTAAATTATTTCATACTTTTAAACTTTTTTTCTTTGTTTTTTTGAATTTTTGTTCTTGTCGTTTTTTGTTTTTTTTTTTTTTCCCCCTTTTTTTTATACAAATGTACAAGATTCTTAATATTTAATAATAATAATTAGAGTATAGAGGCATAAAATTGTGGCTAATGTCAATATATTTAGCCGTTTTTAATAAGTGCCTGTTAATTTAATTTGAATTTTTCGATGTTTGTTGAGTGAAGATACAGTTCACTTACGCACATTTAAATTTCCTCATCTTTCAAGTTATTTTCTTAAACAATGCAATTTATCCAATGAGAATATTAAAATAAATTCTATCATATAAAGTACTAAATTAGAAGAAATGGAAATTATTAAAGAACAGTAGAGTAAGTTTGAATGGAGTGGGTATCACTAATCAGGCACTTTACGATATCCCTTAATCACTCTTGTACGAGTTACAATGTCAATTACACTCAATAATAATTGCCTCTCAGTGAATCACATTATTTTGTTGTTTTTTCATGTCATCATTGGTTGAATATTTAGTTTACACTATAAACACTAACCCATTCATTTCTTAACATCACTCATCAATCAGTAATTCTCTTTGCTTAAATTACATACATGCAGACAATTTAAATTATCATTTAATCTCCTCACCGAAAAACAAATCAATATCTAGAATTTTATCATTGTTTGATAAAAATTAATTTCATATTATACAGCGTACTCTTGTTCTTTTTCACTATTACACGATGAGGAGAAAGCACATATGTCACTTGATGAGTTTTTAATTAATTATTTATTTCCAAAAGTTGGAAAGCTCTTTCAAGTGAAACTTAATTATCATTTCTTCCATTCATTTATTAATAAGGTCTAGGTCATAAGCTCGGTCATATCATCAATTTCTATTTCATCAGATGGTTCAACTCTCATCGCCAGTTTGGTATATCCATTTGAAGATTCACGTTTTCTTGATACAGCCTACAGAAAAAATAGAAAATAAAATAATTAAAAATTTTTAATATTAATACACGGAAAGAACAAGATGACACTGGATATCATCCCAGATTATACTCAGTGATATATGTGGTGAAAAAAATTTCAGTTAGTAGCTAGAAAAATCCAGATTATACTGCGTGATATCTGGATTATACTCATTATAATCTGGATTATACTAGCTACTATCTAAAATGTTTTTTTCACTCAGTATAATCTGGGATGATATCCAGTGTCATTTTGTTCTTTCAGTGTAGTGTAAAAAAAAAATCACATGGTATTTTTACTCTATTAATCTAGACCAAATCATAGTGTAAAATGTTAATGATAATTTTCATGATTGTTCTTTACAATGGCTATAAAAAAAAAAAAAAAAAAAACTAAAAAAATTAACTTGAAGAAAATTCAAGACATTGAAAGTTCAATTTTTCAAATATATTTTTTTAAGTAGTAGTTTGTTTGTATTAAAAAACAAAATAGTTATTAGGTGTCTACTAATTTCAGTTTCAAAAAATTTCTACATGATACTGAAGTTAACCGACGTCCGATAGCTATTAGAATTTTTTTCCACATGTGAAAATTAAAAAAAAAAAAAACTATGAATGAAATTTTTTAAATATACTATTCTTAGTACTGAAATTTTTAAAAATTTTCTTCTAAAAATTATCTTAGCAGTTGAATATTATGTCTAAATTAAAGTAAATTAGACATAATATTTATTGATTTACCTGTAAGGCAACAAAAATAGCTACAAATAAGGCAACAGACGCAACGCAAATAGCAACAGCCATCATGGTCGCAGCAGTAACAGCATAACTAGGATTATGATCTTTAATGTCACTACTAAGACTTTCAAATCCAGTATCAAATTGTGGTATCGTATCACCACCAATTTCACTACCAGGTACACGTCTTTTACCAGCCGGTGAACTGTTCCTGCAGCCACTAGTTTCTGGATCACAAACACAACATTCATCATTTTCCGACTTTTTCTTGTTGGCCGGACAGCATGGCACGCACTGATTATTAAGTTTATCAAAGTGTAGCGGTAAAGTACAGGCAGCACAGCTGAATTTTCCCGGGCCGGTGCAGCGTCGGCAATCACCATGGCAATTTTTGCAAAGTTGTGTCAGCGGATCGTAGTACTGTGCACCTAGACATGCCATGCAGAGTCCGCCCTCGAGCATAGAATGAGGCGGACAGGAAGTGCACTCGAGAGGGCCTTCACCTTTGCAAGTGCGACAGTAATGATGACATTTTTGACATCCGAAATTTGATTTAAAGAACCCCTCCGGGCATTCTGGATGGCACTCACCGGCAGCTAGTTGCCACCCTTGCGGGCAACTAACACACTGATCTCTCCGTGGACCAGAGCATGTTTTACACGAGAGATAACACTTAGCACACTGGCCGCGGTCACTGTAGTATCCTTGTGCACAGGATGATCTACACTCGCCGCTTTGTAATTGCAATCCCTCTTGACACGCTGTGCAATTAAGTCGTGATACACAGGTTTTGCAGGTGTGGAGACACGGCGAGCAAATGGGTCGCGATGGCTGGGCTAATGAATAATAACCATCCTCGCACTGGGCGACACACCGCCGGCTTTGAAGCAGCAGTGGGCTCGAACAGGATGTGCAAAAATCTTCTGACGGTCCGGCACAGGTTTCGCAACTTGTATGACACGGCTTGCAAATATCGGTGTCAAAGTACTCGGCAGCGTTACACTTGCTGCGGCTATCCGGGACACAGATACCTTTTTTGCTGATACTCCATCCGTCGATGCAGCTAGTGCAGCTTGATGTTACGCAAGTTTTACACCCGAGTGGACAGGGCATACATTCCCGGCGTTTTTTATCCGCGCTGTAGCCCACTGGGCACGAACTTTGGCACATACCATTAAGTGAAAAGAATCCGGGCTTGCAACTGATGCACTGATTTTCACCGGTACCATTACATGTTTCACAATTATTGTGACACGCCGCGCAGTTGTAATCTTGTGTTTCGTAGGTGTACAGAGGACAAGCGGCGTAACATTTACTCTCGTACATTACCAGATGATGATCACACGTTGTACAGTGGTCGGGACGGTCTTGACAACTCCCACAATTTGCTTCACATGGTACACATGTGTTATTTTCAGTATCTGTAAAATAATATCCTGGATTTAATAAGGCTATATAATATATTATCATATTATCATTATTTTAGTGAAAATTTTCCTCGACTTAATTGCAAGGTTTGATGATTAAAATCGAAAAAATTATTTTTTCCCTGACGGATCCAAAGTGCGGTAGAGTAATGTACGGTACGTACAGTAATTTATCGTAATACAGTATGACACCGTAAATTACGGAGACTGTGACCACGGCAAAGTACCGTAATTGTACAGTAATTTACCGTTATTGTACGGTAAAATACCGTAATTGTTAGTAAAATACTATAATTATCCGGTAAAAAATGTACTGTTTTGCTTCGCTAAAGTACCATACACAGTAAAAAAATTTTTGTCGAATTTAACATACATTTTTTTATTACTGACTATTTTTACACAAACTAATATTAATTCCTACATTCTAATGTGTTAAATCAACACATGAAAATGTAAAATTCTACACACTAGAGTGTAATATTCTACACAAAAATTTTTACACTTTACACAATGACGAAAACTTTTTTACTGTGTAATTGTACGGTAATGTACCGTAATTGTACGGTAACTTATCGCTAAAATAAAGTATATTTGACGGTAGGTTACCATTGGAATACGGTAGTGCGGAAAGTTCAGAAGTATATATTTTACCGTATTTTCACTGTACGCTACCGTAATTTTACCATATTTTTACCGTTCTTTACTGTACGTTACGGTTTCTACCGTGCATGTAGAATGCTACTGTAATCTACGGTGGCCATACGGTATATCGACCATATTTTTACCGTATAATACCGTAATTCTACGGTATTTCAAATCCGTCAGGGTTAATTGTTCCTTTTAGAGTGCATTGAAGGTGAAAATTGTGAAAACAGTCAAAAATTTATTTCTCAACTAGTTTCTAAGCTTTTAATTATGAGAAAAAATCGTTCATGAAATTTATTCACATAAGTTCGGTAATCCCTAAAAGTTTTTATTGAATTTTAAAGATGAAAGCAGAAATGAAAAAAAAATTTTTAACTTTAACTTTTTGAATGTTCATAATTTTTACAAAACTTTCTAAGTTGAAAAATTGATAATTTTTACAAAATTGGTTATAAAAAAAAATAAATATTACTTTTTTTAACTTCTATTACATTTTTTTATAAGCTTAAAAAATTATAATGTCACTATCATTATTCATTTTCAAGCGTGCAATTAAAAGTAAAATTTAACTTTTTAAAAATCCTGTTGTAGATACATTTTTAGTTATTTCAACCCGATTCCTATATCACTAAGTTCGATACATCTTTTATTTTTCTTTTTTTTTTTTTTTGAGCATAATATCATTTATCAATATCTTAAAGGTTTTTTTTTTTTTTTTATTTCAGAAATTTATCATAATAATTAAAAATTGAGTTTGACAAATATAAAAATAAATATCTACTATTGGTATTTCGATATTAACAAAAGTATGAAATAATTTGTTAATTTTTCATGTTTAAGAATAGGTAGAGCCATAATTCTGAATAATTACCAAGAAATTTTTTTAAACAATATTTTAAATTTACATTATTGCACGCAAAGCGTGTATTATATAATGAATCGATTAAAAACTTTGACGGTATTCAAGTTTATAATCAATATGAACTTCTAAAAGACAAACATTAGCTCGTTTAGCCTGGGGATATTTTTATATTAGTTCGGGAATATACCCTTTATTTAAATGAAAAGTGTTTGCATACTTTCATAGTAACCCTCGGGACATTGTTGAAGGCAAACGGCAAGATCAGTAACTCTTAAGTGAGCTGGAGCACATGATAGACAAGAGTCTTGGCCAGCACCAGCGCATGTTTCACATGATTCGTGGCAAGGCCAACAAACACCACCTTGATTTGGAAAACTTCTTGGCGGGCAACGGCTTACGCACATACTAAATTATTAAAAAAAAAAAAAAATAAAAAATAATAAAGTTAGCAACAATAACAGTAAAAGTAGGATATAAATTTAAAGATAAAATAGAAATAGACACAATGAACCCACTTATCAAGTCGATAGGTTTTACAGGCAATACATTCTGTTGGACCTGTTCCATAACATCCCTGATGGTCGCACTGTGGATCGCAGTCGTGTAAAACTCTCTTGGAAGGATCTAGAGACCCCTGGAGTGATCTAGATATATCGTCGGAGACATCACCAGGTAATCGGTTGGTAAGAATGGAGGCCGATGATCCGTCTAAGGATGCTACTGATGATTGGATATTGGAGGCAGCACCCGCGTAAGCACTTGGATAATTCTGAAAGACAGATTGACGAAAATCGAACTCGTTGTGTTGATCAGATCCACCCAATGAGCGATCGTGCGGGAAGGATAATTCAGAGGGATTGTATGAAGAATAATACGACTGATGATGTACCGGATTAAATTGACGAGTTCGTAATCTAATGGGATTGGTTGCCGTTCCGTAGAATATCAATTGCCATTTCTTCAGTATTCCTGAAACAAAAAACGTAAATGGAAATTACTTTATCGAGGGTTACTTTCTTCTTTTTTTTTTACTTAATTTATGGCTCGTAAGTGACGAACAACTGTTGTAGTTGTTGTGAGAAAAAAATCAATAGTCACGATATTTTTGCGTTAGAGTAGTGTTTGTATTTATTATTTTTGTGCATAGATTGACATACAATCATTTGTAGGAAGAAGATTGTGAATAGAGATCCTTAAGAAATTATTTAATAATAAAAAAACAAGTTTTTTAAATATAATAGAATATTTGAAAATTTCACTGATTTAGTAGATTTCATAAAAATTCAACTATTGCATTTGCCTTCATGATGGATCTATTGAAAAATTTCACTATGTTACGACTAAACGCGTTAAGCTAGTTCATAAAAACAACATTCTAATTAGCAAAAATTGTCTAACTCCATTTTAGAGAATCTTCCATTTGTACGAAAAAACAATTATTTCAAAATTTATTATGACTATAATATCTAATAGAGATGTAATATTTTGGATTGGATCATTCATTGGTCAGTTAGACCAATTGCTAATTAAACCGTCGAAATACATATTCACAATTCTTGACGGATCTCAATGAAATTTAAAATACTGATCAGTCAAATATTTCAAAAATTTTTAGTAATCCAAAGTATTGAAAAAATAAAAACTATCATGTTTTCTCTGGTTCTTAACTTTTGAATACGATTATTGAATTTCTGTAAAATGCATCGGAAATTTAAATAAGCTTTAATTTCTATACTTATTTTTCCATTTTTTGATGAAATTTTACTTTTGTATTGGTTTCAATAATTTTGCAAGTTTTTGGTATTTCTGAGAAATTTACTTCCATTTTGGCTGCCGAATGATTTTTTTTCTTTTTACAATTTGTTTTTAAGACAAAATAGTAAAAGTCTGTGCTCGTAAAAATGAGTAAGTTTTATTGTTTTAGAGGCTTAAAAACATCTATTTTTATGTTTTTCTTAACTTTTCATTGGCGAGTATATTTTTACGACCCTGATAAAGTTGAACTTACACGTCCAGTCTCTATTCTCGTTTAATTAATTCAATAAAAAAACTGCTAAAATAATTAAAAAATTTTCTAAAGTACTATTTAATGATTGATAAAAACGACAATTTTTTTTTTTTATGAATTTATTAGAAACTTTAAAAATTTAGTTTTTACCCAAGTAAACGTCAAGAATGATTCGAGTACAAGTTTAGAAGATATTGTTGGAAATGCAAGAGCGTTCTAAATTAATCAACGTGCCCCACTAGTGGAGCTAGTTGATGACTTAATGGCTTGATAAAATGATCTGAATGTAAACTAAAATTGTAATTAACAAGCCAATATCTCTTGATTATGATTATTACATACTTGTATTATATTACCTATATCTTTGATAAAAAAAAAATTAAAATCTAACAAAATTAAATCTTTTCAATATTTTGATTATTATTTTACATTTTTTATTTTAAATTATATATTTCAGAATAGTACTAAGCAAATAAATATTAAGTAAAAAAAATTCTAGTTATTTTTTTTACGTCAGGAAAAACAGCGTTCTCTTTATCGGAGCCCCGGACGGTGTTTACACTTATGTTGTAGTTTTTGAAATATTTAGATTGCACAACGTGCCCCTACGATCAACTATAGCCACTCTATAACCCTACTAAAACTTTTTCAGCGTTTTATTATTTTTGGAATAAATTCTGAATATTATTTATTAAAAGTTTATTTCTTTTTCATATTGAAGTTAACAGACATCTGAAAAGTTCAAGGAATTCTTTAACTAATAAACTCTGACAAAGAAAATTAAAATCGAATTTAAAAAAAAATTTATTTAGTATTTATTTTTTTTGTTTTATTATAAATTTTTTTTATATTTTTTACCATATTTTTCGTCATCTTCAACAATTCGCTACCCGCTAGTTAACATAATGGAAATGCGATTCCTTATTCTTATTATTAATTTTGTTCTCATTTCTTTATTGAATATTTTCCCTCAATAGAATCAAAAAATTTTTCGAAAAATTAAAACTTTAAAAATTATAGAAAGCCATAAAATATTTTTACAATTTGGAATTCTAGAGTTTATAAATAACTGACTCACCATCATTTCTTTACGTACTGAAGTAATTTAGTGTAATTCATTGCCGTTAAAGTTTTATTAGGAGTAGTCACGAGAGTTATATGATGCTGGATTTAGCAGTTATTAACTTTAGAAATTGTAAATGGACCTCAAATGACTTAAGTTATTAATGAAGCGTTAGAATTATTGTTAGAAATGTTTTCTCAATTTTCCTTCAAATTTTAAATCCAAGAATTTACATACTAAGATAGTAAATTAAAAAAAAAAGATCACTAATTATTTTGAACATAAATTCTTTGGTTCAATATTATTTATTTTTTGTTTATTGGTGTACAAGATTTAAATTCACTTATTATTGAAAATATGAAAAATTTAGATAAATTACGAAGCGTTGGAAATATCCTAAGGGTGTATAGAATATTTTCTCCTATTATCTTAAAGAACCTTTATTTAGAATGGGTAGGAGCAAGTAATTTTTCAAAATTCATTATTTCCATCCATTTTTATAGAATGTTCTCATGGCACCCTGATCCCATTTAATTAGAGTATATAACTATCCATTCACCCTCATGGCTTCTATAATACGATTATTCTATATTCTATAGAGTAATAAATCTCGTTTGAATATAATTTTATCATAGATTTTTATGATTATCGAATATAACTAAGTTTTATAAAAAAATTTATAATATTTCAGTACTGTAGAATTTTTTTATAGTTGAAAATAATTTAATTTTATAGAGTAAAGAGATTTTTTTATTTTTCGGTGATGTTTGATAAATTGTATTAAAGTAAAAAGCAGTCATATCCAGATAACGAATAAACGTTTTTAAAGCTCTTAAATTTTAGTTTTCAGATTATTTAGTAAAATAATTTTAGAAGCTGTAAGAAAAATTTTTTTGATTTTTTTCGTTTACGGAGTTAAATAGTGGGATCAGCAGAAAAAAAAATTAATTGATAACCGTCACTCCCTAAGACTTTTAATTGAACGATTTAAAAACTTGAATTTTAGAGGTTTAAAATCGTTAATTTTTGATTTTGATACGATTAATTTTCACTCAAGTGCAGTCTGTCAAAAAATGCCAAAAAATTTGGAAATTTTTGTTGCTTTCTTAATTGTTGTGAGCAGTGTATGAGTTTAAAATTTTTCCAAGCTCATATTAATCTTCTGTTTCATGTGATTTTTGAACAAAAAAAAATAATCATTCTTTTTTGAATACCAATTCCATTGTTGTAATATTTTATATAAAATAAAAATTTGTGCAAATAAAATACTAAATATATGTTTGATGTAATTTTTTAATATATGGTAAGGTAAATCATTAAATTGCCAGTTAATTCAATAATTGTGATGTACGAGCTAATAATTTGATGAAAAGAATTAAATAATCAATAATGTGCAGGAGATTAAATGTTCATTTACTATTATTGAAATCACAATGGCTTGGGATAATAAATGATGTAGATTAGTTAAGTGCTTTAAACTGAATGACGCATTTAGTAAATTTTAAAAAATATCGTTCATTTTAATGGATGTTATATGGATATTAAATTAATAGATTATTGAGCATTACTGCAGAGAATGAATTTTACTTTTTAGTGATTTCATGGAAATAATATGTTAAAATAATTAACGGTTCTAATACAGCATTGATAACTTATAGGCCATTTCATATAAAGTTAATGACGTTTTGTAGGTGATCTCCTTCGATTTTTTGTAATTCGAAATTGTAAATTTTTAGCTTATTTCAACGCGTCGCGAAACTATCAAAATTGAGGAAAGATTTTTAAAATACTCATATTTTCTACAATAATTAACACACTCCAAATTTATTAATATTTTTTTTTGTTTTTTAATGTATTTTTTGAAGAAAATATCGAAAATTGAGAAAAGAATTTTAAGTCCAATTATATATGGCTGTTTTGAGCACGAAAATTAGAATATCTTATGGAGCCCCTTCGATTTGTTTAAAAAAATTTATAAAATTTTATGTGAAAAAATAAAATTTTTGAGATACAACCGAAGATGATGGGTTGGGAGTAACTTTGTATCAAAAAATTGTTTTTCAATTTTTTTTTCCAAATTTTGATTTTTTTTCGTTTTGAGACTACAATAATTGATTTCAGTCATGTTACAATGAATAATTTAACTTACTATTGTATAATCATGAATAGAAGAAAATTTAGCTTAATGATTTTTTATAATTACAATATAGTGAGCATATAGTTTGGATACTTTTGAAATAATTAAAAAAAATAATATTGCTACAGGATAAATTATTAATAATTAAATGCAAAGTCTGACGAAACAAACTTATGGAACCAACAAATTATTCAAAACTCTTCCAAAAACTTTAAATAAAAAATTGAATATTGAATAAATGATTTATAAAATTAAGTTTTTTTTTCTAGTAGCTGCAATAAATTTAACGCAATAAAGTAAATAATCAAAAAAAAAGTTATTAAATTTAGAAAGTATGAGATATTATATTTACTAACATATAGTATAATTAAAGGCAACGAAACGAGGTACTTCAAAAAAATCGAAACTTTTTGGAACTCAAATACGCTGATTTTTTTTTCTTTTTTTTTTTTTAATCCCATTCAAAGTAAATAGAAAACATTTTTATGAGTAAAATATTCTTGTTTTTAATAATTCTCTGCCCTCCGGCCGGAAAGTGGCAACTTTCTGGCCGCTGCGCTAAACGAAGTTGTCACATTCCGGCTACGTCGAGTAGAAAAATAGTATACATTCTATCTCGGCTTCGCCTGGGCCAACAAATACATGTCGCGTTACTGATGCCATAAGGGCGTATCTCGAAAAAAATACCCTTGAAAAGCCATAAGGGCGTATAAAAAAAAAATTTTGGTACGCCCTTTTGGCTCCCGGTAGGTACCCTGGGTACCATAAGGGCGTACCAAAATTTTTTTTGCATTACTGCCCGTTTTAGGCATAACTACGTCGATTCTCGAAAAAAATTTTTTGGTACGCCCTTATGGCATTTGTAACGCGAATGTTATCTGAGACTTTTCTTATTTTACTGGCCTAGGTATGTAATATACTATTTTTTTAAGATTCCCGATTCGGTCTTCTCTTTTTACTAATTTGAATTAGATATTAAATATCGAATTCATAATTCCTTTTATTTGTTTTAGTCAATTTTTTCGCTTATCCTTTTCATCAAGTATTCGAAGTTTTATTCGAATATTAAAATATTAGATAAAAATAATACTTGGTAATAAAATAATAAATAAAAGTAGGTAAGAAGGTAAGTAGATTATAAAATTGGTATTTACCGGGTGAATTGACTCGTCTGTTGCCAGCATTGATGATCTGTAACGTCCACCGACCGTCAGCTTTTTCACCCCAGAAATGTACACTCAGGAATGGCCAATCATCGAAATTGGAACTGAGTACGTCTCTTGGTCGTTCAAAAAGTAATGTTGAGGTAGTGCCCATGGGTGAGGTCAGCAACAGGCGCAGGTTTCCTCGAGGGAAAAATCTTAATGACACCTATGAGAGTAATAAAAAAGATCTATAACAAAATATATCCTCTTTTTTCAATAACTTTTATTGACACTAATATTTAATAGTAATCATTTTTATTTATTTATTTTTTTAATTTTTTTCTAAAAAACCTTCGGCACAATAGAGATTTAAAATAGATAACGCGTTGGAAAATGGTCAATTTGTAGACTAAAATAACGCGATCTTTTGTGGCATTGATATATACAAGCTACAAACGTACACGGCCGTACACATGAATTTACTATTATGTTTGTTTAATGTATACTACAATGACAGTTTCATTGTAGATTAATGTTTCCATATATCGAACTATTGTCAATCACAAAGCGACATTTGAGTGTAAAGTATTGGATTTATTTTACTCTGCATACAGTTTTTTATTTGTTATTATTATTACTATTTCTATTTCCAAAAAGCTATTATTGAAAGTAAATTTTTTTTTATATCAAATTTTACTATTTCTAAAATATCATAAAACAGCTCCCATTGGCACCTTGGATATTATTTTCCAGATAGTAAAAAAAGTCCTAAATACATTTTCACATTAAATGAATGAATATTTTATTGGTAACTGTACATATTTTTTTATAGAAAGTGATGCATCAAAAAAAGTACAGCAGGGATGTTAAAATTACTATAGTTATAGCTAAAAAATTTTATTACTACAGTATTATCGTTAGTACTTTTTGTATATGTATTGAATGATAAAGTAACATTCGGCGTAATTTTGACCTTCTATCGACTAATAAAAAAATTTCATTGATTAAAGAGAAAAAATTCTTGATCCAAGAAGGTTATTATGAAGAATTAGATCATTTTGAATCAAACCGAATAATTCTTAAATTGAGAAAGATAAAATTTTGGCAGCATAAAAATTTTATTGATTATGGATATACCTATTATAAAAATTATTTAAAGAGATCTAGATAGGCTATACTGATAATTTTGTTTGAATAAATGTAGAGTTATGAGATGATGCTTGTCAGAAAACGAGTGTGTGGAATGCAACGAAATATGGAAGGCTATAATCATCATAAAATATGTTACGATCGCGCGATTCATGATGTCGAACATGAAAACGTGTTTTATTATTACAAAATGTTTGTGCTATTTTTCCTGCTACTATTTTTATTGCTATGTACTCTTTTTAGTTCATGAAAAACATGATTGTGTGATTATTATTGTACAGGTAATTTAAATTTAAAAAAAATTTTTGAACGTAATAAAAACAAAAAAAAAAAAAATTAGAAAAACGGTTGACCCTAAAGGCCATCCCTGCAACTTCCCGCTAATTCTACACCTGAGCGCTTAACATTTTGTTCACTTATTTTGTTTTTGATCTCTTTGAGTTCAAAAATATAATTTTTGTGATATTTTGAGCTCTTCGAGCTCAAAAGTCTGAGCGGACTTTCATAGATCACTATTTTATGAATTTTCAAATCGTAATAACTTTTGAATGAATTAACCGATTTTCTCGTGGTTTACGGAATTCAACGCAGTTTTTTGAGCTCTTTGAAGAATTTTAGAGCGCGAATTGTTCAGATAGAAAATTTCATAGAAATTCTGAAAAAAACATTTTTTTCAATTTTTTTTTATAACGATATCTCACGAACGAACAAATCAACCGATTTTGATCGGACCGGCGGCGATCGACGCGGTTTTTATCTTAAGAGATGATTAGTTTTTGGTATCAGTCGATAAAGCCGTTTAAAAGTTATTCCAAAAAAACCACATTTGAAAAAATTTTTTTAATAGTTTTTTTGGGATTTCTCGGAATCTACCGGTTCAAAATCACAGAAAATCTAAGTTTGATGGAACTCTTTAAAATACCACTAGTTTGGTTTCAATCAGTCAAGCCGTTCAAAAGTTATAAGCAGTTTACATATGGCCACACACGGACATCATCGCGAAAACATTCAGGGAAGCTTCCTAGGACCTTAAAACGTCAAGATTCGTTGGAAAGTCGATTTTCGAAAAACGGGGTAAAAACGATAACTTCCCAACTTTTGAAAATTTTCAATTTTTTGAGCGGGAAGTTAAAAAAATAAAATTAGTCGAAAAACTTTTTTTGTTAATTATGTAGTCTTAGGGCCAGTTTTTCAACCCCGGGTTTAAGTATTTTATCATTGTGAATATATCTATATATCTATTATATATAGATATATTCACAATGATAAAATACTTAAACCCGGGGTTGAAAAACTGGCCCTAAAACTTTGACGTGATAATTCGACTTTTTTTTCAAAGATTTGTTTCGTCAAAAGAATAAATGGCAGTGAAAATAGCCATTATTATGTTTTTTCTTGTAAAAAAAAGCAACGAGGATAGATTTGAATCTTAAATAGGTACTAGCCATTTTGAAAATCATTGGGGTTTGATTTTTTATACGCTATTTCTGATTTTTGTCAAATCAAATATTCCAATGTAGCAATTAATTTTAATAAAATTTGTAAGCAATTAATTCCGTACGCTTGTTTTTAATTACAATGCAAACATTTATGCTTCACTAATTAATAACTTTGAAGAGTTTATTAAAGTTGTAAAATTATCTGTTACATTGTGAATTAAATTTCTCTTAGTAAATATTCAATAACTTCCGCGAAAGTTTCAAGCACTACAAGTAATAAACTCTTTTGGATTTTTTATAGTAAACTTTGCTCATACATAACTGGCAAAATCAGACTGAATACTCTGACTAAATTGTATAACTGGCAAAAGCTTCATTATATGTTTTCTATATTACATACAATTAAAAAAAAATCTAGCTATAACAATACTTCGAAATTTTACTGAATACAAATATTATAATTCAATTTATTCTCTACTTTAATTAAATGTTAAACATCTTTGATGATCTACTATTTTCAATGTTGAATATAAAAAATTGGACATAAAAGAAATAAGAGAAAAGATAAAAATCAAATGTCTCGAGGCCATTTTTCTTACTTTATCCATTTTTACCACGCTTTGTTGCCACTTTTTTATGGTAGGTATTATCTTTCAACATTATCTCTTTGTCTACGATACAGAAGTATAAACAAAAATAATAAACCGAAAAAGTATAATAATAAATTTTTCAAAACACATAAAAGTACACATTTTCAATATCTATACTAAAACAAATTATTGACACGAGAGATTTTTATTTCTGGCTTAGCTAGATCTTTTTTAATTCTTTACTAAACTGAAAAGTTCAAATATAATATTAAAGCTTATGGTTCCTGCTATTGAAGAAAAAAATGCAAAAAAAAATGTATTTAAAAATCCAGCGCTGTCTGTCCAGGTGCTATCCATCAGCCGTCTGTTTAAATAACGTCATAGATTTTGGATTTTACACATTGTGTATACGAAACTAAATTCATCTCATAAAACAATCAAATAAAATCGATAAATGTTTTATGAACGGAAAAAGAAAATTATATTATATTTTAAAATGTAATCTTTACAGAATATGTAAAAATTACATAATCTGAAACTTTAATTTTTGTTTATAAATCGCTACGTTACAGTATAAAATGTAATTTTCTCAAAAATAATTGAGCCGAATGAGGTAAAGTGTTTTTTACCTAATTTTAATAAGGCTATTCGTTTGTTTATCTATTATAATAGAGGCAAATATTTAGTACCGAAGGCAGATATTGATATTTTCGTTATGAAAATTAAAAAATTTTAATGGATCATTTCAACAAATTCTGGAAATTTTTTTGCTAGACAAAAATTTATTTTCTTCCTTTCAATATGATGATTGATGAATATTAGTCTTATTTCTATATTATAATTTGACCATTTATTATTTGATCATGATACTGTGCCAATAAGTTGCACGGGTTTGTTAGTTCATATTTACTTAAAAACATGTGGTACAGTCTGATGTCGATAATTCAGTCTGAACCAGTGGCAACAAAGGTCAATTGAATATATCGCTTTGTTTATTTGAAACACATCTAAAATGCACTGAAGAAAGTTATCAGACTGAATGTAAATACTATAAACACTGCTGAAAAAAATTAAACTAGATAATTTACTTTTGGCACTCTCTTGCGGCCTACATGAAAATATAGTAAATGAATTTTTTTGTTGATAATTAGTTTTCTTCCCTAACCCAGCTGAATTTTAATAATTCTGTCTTATAATCTAAGCTAAAATAAAGAATAACCAAAAAATTAAAGCTAATATTTCAAAGACTATATTGGTTGTACGTTTATTAGTAATTTCTTTATAGTAAAGTTTATTTACTTGAATATGCACGGAGGAAAAATTTGGTAAAATAAGGATACGTATCGTTATTCTGACTATACGCCGTATAGTCATTTTTTTTTACAGATATACGCTGTATAGCCAATTCAGCTATACAGCGTATCATCAAAATGACGATCCATATCATTATTTTAGCGTTACATTCAGGGCCAGTTTTTCAATCCGGGATAAAATTTTATCCGAGATAAAAGTACCGCCAATAAAATAAAAAAAAAAAAATTAGGAAAACGGTTGACCCTGAAGGCCATCCCTGCAACTTCCCGCCAATTCTATACCTATACGCTTGAAATTTCACTTATGACGTTTTAGAGCTCTTCGAGCTCAAAAGTTTGATAGAAGTCTGATAAAACACTATTTTTTTTATTTTCAAATCGTAATAACTTTTGAATGAATGAACCGATTTTCACGCGGTTGGCGGCATTCGACGCAGTTTTTTTAAGCTTCATAAAAAATCATTGAGTTTATATCGACAGAGTGGAAAAATTCGGAGTAATTCCGAAAAAACACTTTTTTCGGTTTTCTTTCGTCAACGATAACTCACGAACGAATTAACCGATTTTGACTGGACTGGCGGCGATCGACGTGGTTTTTTGACGTTAAGAGCTGATTAGTTTTTGAAATTGATCGGTAGAGCCGTTTAAAAGTTATTTCAAAAAAACCACTTTTGAAAAAATTTTTTGTAGTTTTTTTACGATTTCTCAAAATCTATCGGTCCGAATCGGTTCAAATTTTTAGGAAATCTAAGTTTGGGCAAGCCCTTTCCAATGGCGCCAACCGCGATCAAATCGGTCAAGCCGTTCAAAAGTTATAAAAGGTTTACATACATCCACATCCACATCCACATCCACACATCCACACATCCACACACACACACACACACACACACACACACACACACACACACACACACACACACACACACACACACACACACACACACACACACAGCACACCACCGCGGGGGTAGTCAGGGAAGCATTTACACACGCATACACACAGTCCAGCTGATTCAGCTTGCATGGAAACACCCCTTAGATTTACTATAAATCTCTGGTTGTCTATAACTCGGTTGTGTACAGTAAATAAATGAACAATTATATTTACTATTTACGGTAAAAACACACACACACACACACACACACACACACACACACACACACACACACACACACACACACACACACACACACACACACACACATACAGACACATACAGACACCACCGCGGGGGTAGTCAGGGAAGCTTCCTATGACCTTAAAACGAGATCTGATGAAAACTCGATTTTTGCAAAACGGGGTGAAAACAATAACTTCCCGATTTTTGAAAATCTGAGATTTTTAGCGGGAAGTTAAAAATAAATAATTCAGCGACGTGATATTGCTCTCAATTAGTTCTCCATGAGTTTGGTCGTTTATTTAAATAAAAATAAATAAATGTATCATAAAAATAATAATAACCTCTTACTGTGTCATTTAAATTATTTAAAATTAATTAACACAATTATAAATTAATAATAGATATGTCAAACGCAAGATATGAGCTCGAAGGACTTAAAAGCATAGAACAGCTACCTCCTCTTTGAGCTCATAAAGCTCAAAATAACACATAAATTGTAAATTTGGAGCTTGAAGAGCTCAACAACATTATAAGTGCAATTTCAAGCGCTTAAGTATGGAATTAGCGGGAAGTTCCAGGGATCTCCTTCAGGGTCATCTGTTTTCCTAATTTTTATTTTATTTATTTACAATCAGGAAGTTGTCACAGTTGAAGGTGAATATTTCTGTGACATGTTGCTAATGTTTATTTACTTTAATTCAAAATAAGTGACTGAATTCAAGGTGAATTACTCGTAAGCAATATCACTGTGCTGAATGATTTATTTTTTTATCATAATGGCAGTACTTTTATCTCGGATAAAATTTTATCTCGGATTGAAAAACTGGCCCTTAGTTAATTCAACTATACAGATCCTCACGTTAACGAAACAATGGCCTGTTTTGACGAAACTATACATATATTTACAAGTGCTATTCTCTGTATGCTTTTATGTCAAACAAATGAATCCTTAGATCAGAAATCCGGATTGTTATTTCAAGGAAACGTCGTTTGAGGATACGTTGGATAGTCATTTTAACAATATTTTTTTTTCCGTGTGTGATGGGTTCTGAGATAAGGCAGTTTTACGTGCAAACATTACGTTTTTATTTATCATTTTGTTATTTACTTGGTCAAAAAGCGTACCAGTATCTTGTTCAAAATTTGAATACAATATTTGAAACAATATTGCACGCCTCATAAGCGAAGCATTGAGGTTGTGCTCTACTCTCGACATTTCGAAAAAAGCAGTTTTTTCGAAACTGAAATTGATTTTTTGTTATTTATATCGCACTTACAGGTTAAAAAATGAGTACACTTATGTCAAGTCAAATAATTTTTCAGGCACATAAAATATATTTCAATAACAATTTTTTTGTTTAACATAATAAATAATAATATTAAACATAATCTTTTTTGGACGTTCGTGTATGAATAGGTGTATGTGGCAGGGAAATTGGTCGAAAAAATGATCGTACCGGAATAATTTTTTTTTTAATTATCTAAATTAACACACTACAGAATTTCTTAGTTAATATGAGCTGTTCAATTCACTGTCGTTAAATTATTATTTATAAAAAACTAATATATGACTGTGGATTTTTTTGTATTTCTATCTATAAATTTTATTATAGTATTTTTTTTCCGCACCTTGTAGTTATAGCGCCACTAAACCATAGCAGTGTTTTCTGTTTTTTATTATTTTGCTTTTTATATTTTATTTTAAAAAATGAGATTATGAGGCGTGCACTTTTGGATTTTCCAAACTTTTTTGAAAGTACTTTCAGTCAATATATTACAGATTATTCTTCAGAATAAGTTATAAACGTTCAGATGAAAAAAGATCACATTTAGTTAATAATTAATGCATACAAAATGCTTTTGATTTAGTATACTTTAGAATAAATTATTTAAAATAATAAATGAAAAAAAAGCTCACCTTGCACTGAACATGCTCTAGAAAACGGACCTCATTAATAGTCCCAGCGCAGCCACTTACGTCCATGTAAACACTGAGAGTATAACCAAAAGATGAATCTATAGATCGCTCCTCATTGATCTCTTGAGATTTGCAAATATGCTGAGGCGGCACATTTGTCCATTGTTCAGCAAGATTGACCATTGCGCCCGCATCCATTAGCCCATAGCCAAACTTATGCGAAACTTTCCTCTTGACTCCGTTGAGTATCCATCCAGTTTCTTTTTCGAGTGGTCCAGATCTTGATGTTAACACAACTAAATATTGCATATCTCTCCAAGTTAAACTTGGATTAGCTTCGAGTGCTAGGGCAGCAATGCCAGCAGCCAGAGGTGCTGACGCTGATGTACCAGTATGTTCAACGGTACAAATATGATCGGGCCGTAATTTACCGTCCATATCGACAGTTGCGACACTTTTATCATTACCGGGAGTCCCAGATGAGTATGTTGATGCTAGTGTTGAACTACACTCTTCTAGGTACCAGGGTTTATATCCCCCTTGTGTTGCACTTGATATTGACAATGTGAAAATACTATTGGTGTAACCGTCACAGTTGCATGAATCTGTATGACGACCGCCGTTCCCTGACGCCCACACAAATATTGAGCCTTTTCCTTTGCGGCCCTAGAAAATGTCAATATACGCTTATGAATAACGTTTGATTAAATGTTTACAATGAAATTTTATAGTCATACTCTGCTGCATAGAATACACCCTGGGATATCAGAATATATTCATGTCAATAAAATGTATCAGACTCTCGGTTCTAACATGCATTTCAACTCAATGGAATAAATTGATCAATAGTCAAATAACATCAGAAAATTTAATAAAGCATGGTTACAGTGACTTTTCATGCTCGAAATCTTTTTAACATCCAGTGTTGACATTTCATGAATTTTAATGTGATTCTGGAGAAATATAAATTTAAATTGATTTTATAAATTTTTTTATCAATTATTAGCATAGCTTTTTGATTTTTTTAACAACGCGAACTTGAAATAACATTTTTTAGAGTATTTTGATTTTTGAACTATAAAAAATTGGAAAATCAAGTTATTGGTTAATTTTTTTAAATGTTCTTTTTTCCAGCCCATGTCAGGATTTGTAAATTTTAATATATGAATTGAAAAAATGTACATTCTTAAAAATTTTAACTTACAATTTTTGTTATTGAATCGATTTAAAAATTTAATAAAGTTTAAGTCTTAATTACTTTTTGATTCTCGCCGGGCATACTCGAATCAGATAATTAGGTCTAGCGGAGAAAATAGCAATCGGTTAAATAACGTTTTCTTATTAAATTTTGTGTAAATACTTTTTAGATAAATTAACCATTTCGAACAATAAATCATAATTTTGATAATATTAATTTTCAAAAGCCTTTTTTTCCCCTGATATTGATAAATAAAAGTGAAAATTTCTTGTTTGTAACGAACGATAATCAATTTTTTTTTTTTGGATATGACGATTTACCTGTTAAAACAATGGTAAAATGTTAGTCCCTTGTATTGAAGCGGGGTAGATTTATCAGGACTTTTTTTACGTATGAATAATAAAATCTTTTATTTTTTCATGAACAAATAGAGAATTAGTTCGTTCACTGATTACATCACATTTCCACTCTTGATAATAATATTTTTCTTTCTCTACGAATTTTTTATTTAACTGTATTGATCAATTTCTGCATCATTGAACAAAATTCATTTTAAGTAAAAATTTAAAAAGTTTTCAAACGATTATGTTTTACAAAAAAATGATACATTAGCAAAATAAAATGCAATTCTTTAGTGACGAACTTCAAAAATAAACATTTTATACTTCTTCATTATTTTAACTATTCGTTACATAGAAAGATATGAAATGTTAGTGATGTTTTAGTCAATATTTGTTGTTCATGGTTGAATATTGTTTTAAAGTTAATGTTTTTCATTATTGTCTATCAATATTTACTTCGTATATTTATGTGGAAAATAAATCAAGCGGAAGAACCAACCAACGATCCAATTATTTTAGGATTTCAATTTTTCGACGTAACAGTTATGTTATTTGAAAATAATAGAAAAGTGACATCAAAAAGTTGTATAAGAATTTTTTTATTCAAAAAATTTTTTTTTAATATTTTTTTTTTAAATATTTTATTTTTACAAAAATGTTTTCATTTTTTCGTTTCCAGACAAATATAATGTAGAAAAATATTTTTTTTACTTGTCGTCAAATTGAAAAAAAATGAAAGATTTAAGTAATAATTTGATAAGATCTATAAAAGCTGAGGCAATGTAAAGAAGAAAAACGGAATTTTTAATATGTTGTTAACCGATATTAAATACATATAAAATCATTTTCTGCAAAAATCTGACGAAAAGTTTCTGAGTAGTTAATTATTAAAAACCGGACTGTTAAAATATAATCTACAATAAATATTAGCCGAACATATTTATTTCAAATAATTTCGCCGAACCTATTATAAATGAGAAAATGCAAAACTTTCATTTATATAATAAATCGCTTTCGGTGGAATGTTAAAATAACAAATCAAATTAAAACATTTTATTGAAGGTGTTTGTTAATATTTTAGCAGAAAAAATGACTATTTATAAATAATCATGAGTAAAAGCACTTGCGAATAAAAAGAAAAGCAATAACATAAGCTATATGTCGTGTCCGATGCACCTTAAAATTTTCAAAAAGAATTTTTTAATTACACTCACACACACATTTTTCAAATTATGTCTTGAAGTTTTGTAGTTTTTTTGAAAAGTGTACCACAAAACATAAACATAATTAACATAGAGACTCGCTTCGCTCAGTTTAGTAATTGAGTCGCTACCTTAATAAATATTATATAAATAATCGTTTTTGTGTTACACTTACACTAGTAACTCCATAGATGAAGGCACGTCTTGCCAATGGACCAGGGCCATCGACTGTCTTACCATCGTCCTCGGGTCCCCAGGAGGCTGAATATATATCGATGTGTTCGGGATTGAGACCTAACGCTCTTGCCTCTACAGCATCATTTACCGGTCCGTCAAGCATTCGCACTCCTGTAAATACAAAATTTAAAATATACTTTCATTTCAATATATTGATTTCTCATGTTTGTTGTTATCTAGTGATATTGATTTTCATTCCCATACAGTTTCATTATTTACATTATTTGGTTTGTGAGCTAGCTCTATGGATTCATTTAGAAGTACTGCACCAAATAATTCCATAGTATTGAATATATATTAGATGATGATGCCATTGATATCCAGAAGTGTAAGCGAGAATTGATACAAGTGATGTGATGAATATTAATTTCATTTGCTAGATATTCAATACATTGTATCCTTGATTTTCAACAAGTATAACAGTAGTAATACATAACTTGATTTTCAAATAAATGATATATTTTCTCTTCTTTGGCTAAAGATAATAGTTTTGAATTTCAATTTTCTTACAAAGTATAGAATAAATTCACTGCATTGATAGAAGAATTTATTAACTTTTAATGAATTCATTTATCTGGAAAAAATTTATTTATCTACAAAATGTAACTAATTTTTTTCTAAATTTTAATAAATTTTTTAACTTGGAAAGAAAATTACATTTTCTGCCCTCCGGCCGGAAAGTGGCAACTTTCTGGCCGCTGCGCTAAATAAAGTTGCCACATTCCGGCTACGTCGAGCAGAAAAATAGTATACACACCTTGGCCAGTAAAAAGTAAAGCCTCAGACCACATGTTTGTCAACCTCGGCTTCGCCTCGGCCAACAATTACATGTGGTCTGAGACTTTTCTTATTTTACTGGCCTAGGTATGTAATCTACTATTTCTTGCTCTCCTACCCGAAAGTACGCTCTTTCTGGACGCAGTTTACTCCAGAAAGAGCAAAATTTGTGACTTATTTTGGCGCATGCGCGCTACGCATATTTTCTGGCCGGGCAGCACAGAACCTCGCTTCTTTTCATATTTTCGTGGCGTGAGTTTCAACTGTCTAACAGTCACAACATCACAACATCGTCTGTATGTATATAACATGTCAGCGCATAAACTAACCAGAAAGTGTCAAAAAAATAATTTATAACTAGATTATTATTAATGAACTATTTAATAATAACACTACATAAATGATTCATATAAAAAGTTTATATAATAGTTTTGTGGACTTTATTTGCTTTCTTTTATATTTTGACAGCTAGTCAAACAATGTTTATAAAATAATAGGTACATGTACTCTACAAGCTTCTAATCATTTAATTTCAATCTTTCTTAGCCGTCGATTATTAACTAAAAATTAATTTTTAATCAACTCAAAAAAATAAATTCTGTTATTAGAAAGAGTTTAAATATTTGTGCCAAGTTCTGTGCATTTTATCACTCTAAATTAGAACAATTGTTAGTAAACTTTAGAATAACTTATTTTTTTTTTTTTTTAATTTATTAATTTTTACTTTTTTTTTGTCCGCCCCGACCAGCAAAGCCTCGGCTTTGCAAAAGTCGGGCGGCGCCCCCCTCGCACCCGGCAAAACCTCGGCTACGCCTCGGCCATCATATCCCATACGCCAGGAAATCCAACTTTCTGGCCTAGGGTTGTAATATACTAATTATTAAAAGTTAGTAAATATTTATTAACATTTAATTATTTTTTTTTTTTTTTGAGTACAAGTGTCTTGTTTATGGTAAGGTACAATGGTGAGATCATTTAAAACCAAATAATGCCATCATCATTTATAATAGAAATATGAGATACTAACAATTTTCACCGCAAAAAAAAAAATTATTATTTATTAGGCTGTGTCTATTAACACGAGTACTGGACAAATAATTCATTAATATTAATATAGGTACTAAATAAACATAAATTATTCGTCCAATACCCACGAGTAAAAGAGTACGTCCGTACGAATAGTCACTGCGAATTTATTACAACTATTATTTTATTATTTAGTTTATTTTTTCTATTTTTAACTTCCCGCTTTAAAGATTAATAATTTTTAAAAGTAGGAAGTTATAGATTTCGGTCCGATTTTGAGAATGCGAGTTTTCATCAGATCACCGTTTTGAGGTCCTAGAAAGCCGTTGCGACTACTTCCGCAGTGAATATGTGTATGTATGGATGTATGTATGTGTGTAAATAAAATTTTGTCGTATACGATATCTTAAGAACAAATCAACTGATCAAGATGAATGGTGTTCAACAAGGCGTTCGAAACTGTTCATTGAGACTTCGAGCTGATTAGATTTTGAAGTTAATCGGTGGAGCCATTTCAAAGATATTCAAAAAATAAAAACCAAAAAAAAATTTTTTTCAAGTTTTTTCGAAATAATTTTCAAAATATTTGACTAATCGACTGCAGTATTCCGAGACACTCTTTTAATTTAAAAAACTGCGTCGAATGCCGCCAAGTTAGTCAAAATCGAATGACGCTTTCGAAAGTTATAGACATTTAGAAATTTCTAAATTATCGCTTTTTCGATATAAATTTGAAATTCTTCGATTCATCGACTCAAGAATTCACAAAAAATTTTTCTACTTGAAAAAATGCGTCGAATAACGCCAAGTAAATCAAAATCGAACTAGGCTTCCAAAAGTTATAGCCATTTAAAAATTTTTAAATAATTGTTTTTGTGATATAACTTTTGAATTTTTGAGCTCGGAGAGGAACCAATAAGGAGATTTTCGAGCGTTTCAAGCTCGAAAAAAGCTTGAAGTTCCAAGGATGGCCTGCTGGTCAACCGTTTTTCAGATTTTTTTATAAGAAATCTATTAATTAAGCTGATTTAATAAAATTTTATTATCTACTGAAGTTATGGGGTAATAAAAAGTGACAAAGTAAAATTTTTATGCTCACTTTTTAATTAAGAGTTTACATTGATGATCATTAGCAGTTAATAAACATTTATTAACTGTTAATAAAACTGAATTTATTAAATGATTTATTAACTATTAATTAACATTTATTCAATCATTTAATATTAAAAACTCGTTTATTAACAATTAGTGAAACTTATTAAATACTAAAAAAATCTTCTTATCGGTATAGTAATTTAATTTAATATTTTTCAAATGATATATTTCTTGTGATCTAATGAAAATCTGATTGACAAATAAAAATAGTTTCTGTTAAATAGAAATGTACAATCAATAAGCAATTTATTATTTTTATAATTGTATGTAATTTATCAGACATAAATTCGATTGATTTGGTCGAGTTCCAATTGGTTAACATTCCACCGGAATTACTCGTATTTTAAAAAATGTTTGATTAATACCGAACAATCTTGATCGCCAGTAAGTAAAATTTCCGAGAATTCATTGATATTTACCGAACTCATTTCATCAGTTAAATACGTTTTCAATTTGAATGCTAGATGACTCGAAACCGGTGAATTTTTTTTTTATTTTCTTACCCTATATTCAATTTTCTCCGGATGTAATTTGATTGAAAATATAAATCACACAATTTACTGCAAATTGAATGAACTCTTTAGGGTAAGGAAACTTTTGAATAAAAATAAAATAAAGGTAATATAAAAATTACAATATAAGGAAAAGGTCTATGATAGTCATATAGCTGCTGTTAGCTAATTGCGCTGTCAACTACCGTCTATAACAGCCAGTGAGACAGATTAATATCAATAATGATCGACGTCATTAAAATGATTTGATTGAGATGCAATCTGTTGGAATACTTGGACGTTTGAGTGACGTGAGAAATTACCTCCAATGCTGGCATTGTAAGCAACTCCTACGCCACAATATTGGTTAAAGGCTACGGCAGCCACTTCGCCAGCACAACGAGTTCCATGTTTATTATCTCCGTTGTCACGTGGCATCGGGTCGTCGTCATTGTCGTTAATGTCTGTACTCGCTTCGTGGTCGTAGTTGAGTGCAAGGTCTGGGTGATTTGTTTGAATTCCATCATCTAAAATTGAGACAACCACTCCTTTTCCGGTGTAACCCTTTTGCCAAGCGGGACCAAGATTCATGTCAAAACCATCTTTTGCTCCTCCATTCTGTAAATTATACAGTAAAAAACCAATTTATTCAGGTAAATGGATGTTTTTTCGTTCGTGATTAATAGATTCAAGTAAATTAGAAAAAAAAAGTTTAAAATAATTTTTTAAATCATTCAGACAGAAAATCTAACCAAGTTTACCCGTTGAAAATTTTAAGAATCAAAAATATTAAGTTCTTAACAAATAATGAAGTGAAGGGTGTAGTCTAATTCGTCGGCTACAAAAATACGCGATTTTTGAGAATTTCTGGTGAGCTTGTTTTGAAATAAATGTTTAATTTTTTTCAGTTTTTTTACAAAAAATTAGTACTCAAACGGAACACCATAATTTGGAAGTAGGTCCGCTCCTACACGATATCTTAGTAACGGCTTATGTATAACAAAAGAACCGGAGTGTTTTAAATTCGGTATGACAATGTTTACAAAATAGACGAATGATTTTAATTTTGAACAATTGTTGTTAATTTTATGTAACAAAAACCGAAAAAACTAAAAGAATTGGTTTTTTTTTTTTTCGATGTTTTTCTGTAAAAAAAAATAGTAAAAATCAATATTTTAAAATGATTGTAGTCTACTTTGTAAGTATCTATGTTTATAATATGTGGTTAAAATTTTAGAAGGATCAGCCCACGGGTTCCAGAGAAATCGTGTTGGCTGTCCGCGAAAATGTAGTTTTGAAAAAAACGCGTTTTAAGTTTCTTGAAATAAAAAATCGTAAAAATCCTACCAAAATTTAATCTGCGAGCCTTCGTCTGGAATAGTTAACACATCCCCAGGAATTTTTAGATAAATATACGTTCAAAAAATGTAAAGAAAAAAACAATCGAATTTCCGAAAGTGACCAACTAGACTTCACCCTCAATTCTTTTTAGGTATGACAACAGTTTGTCCCAAAAATAATTTTGATGGATCAAGATAATTTTTCTTGGATTAACATAGTTCTTCTACAAATTTAATGAATATGTGAAATTTTTTTTTTATTGTGAAATAATGCTTAAAAATTTATTGTCATTAAATTATTTGATGTTTAATCAGCTATGTTATTGATAGTAGATAATAATTTCTTATGAGAAAATTGTACGCCTTCAAAAGAGTTTATACGTTTAACAAAATGAAAAACAAGGCGCGCTCGTTTGTAATTCGATCGAAAAAATTTTCTCGTCGAAGATTTATTTGTAATTTGAATTTGCAAATGTAATCATGATTAAGTTCCAATAACATTGCTTTTGAATAACAACATTGAAAAAGAGAAGATTTTTTAAATCAAATGAACGTATTGTTTTTTTTTTTTTTTTTTTTTTTCCTTTTTTTTTGCCAGTCTATAGACCAGGATAATTTAATTAAACTAATGCATCCAAGTTGACTTTACTTACCAAATACCATTGTTCTTTAAAAAGCGGATCCGTAAATAAATTTTGCAGCGGTGCACCTCGATTACGTTGATGATGAAAAGGCGGACGTTGTCTCGATGTAAAATCGTCAAACGTGCTTGGATAATCACTAAAGCTAAAAGAAGATGGGATTTGGTAGTCACGTTTTTTCCTCCGTTTCTCATGTTGTTGTTGAAACCACTGTACCTAAGATAATAAATAAAACAACACAAATAAAACGAATGAATTATGTTGCAGAGTTTATTAAATAAAATTTAGTTGTACGCTGTTAATAATAGAATAAAAAATAAACACGTTTTTGTGTCCTTCTATTTTCTCTGTTCTGAGTCCACTTGGTGGCAATAATTTATCAAGTTTAGTTATCAACAGAGTAGAAACATGTGGACAAAGTTGGTTTTGCGAGAAGTGGATACCGTAGGTGGATGAATATAAATTATTGTTCAATCTCGTGAAACCAGCTTTAAATTTACGAAGCTGTGTAATTCTCTTTCACTACATGGTATATATATTCACTACGGCCGGACTAAAAGTCTCTCTATTCACTAAGTTGTGAACGTTTTCGTATATTTATGTCTCCTAGACGCCGTATCGCAGTACTCATATACGTTTAAAAGTCTTTTACGGTAAGTTGTTCTTTTTACACGCATTCGGTAACTTTAATTATATTTTCTGTTGTATTTATAATTTTGTTATATTTTATTTTATTTTTCAACAGTATAATGACGTTGTAAATTTTTACAAGTTTATCGACATTAATAAATAAAAATTTAGTAATATTTATTGGTAAATTTTTTTCATATCTCCACATCGCTTGAAATTTTAAGAGTTTGGATATGAAAATTCTTCGAATAATTGTGGTATTATGTTAATTACGTCATATAAGTTAGCTAGGGAATTCTGGAATAATCTAAATATTAAAAATTCAAATCGACATACTTTAAAGTTTAATATTACTAATAATACGTAGTGGAAACATAAATATACAACTCTCAAACTTTCTGACCTACAAAATTCTACAAGCTCTTTTTCAACCTCGAATTATGTTATCAAATATCACTGAAAAAAACTACTTGATTCAAGCAAAATAACTTTGAATCAAGATATTATTTGCTATTTTCTATATCATCAAAAATGAGTTTAAGTCTTAAATACGTTTCAGAATGGATTGAAGTATCGAATTTATTTTTTTTTTGTATTTTGAATGAAGAAACTTGTCCTTGAACCAAAAATATAAAATTTTTAAAGAAAATCGAAATTGTTCTCTGATAGTTTCACTTTCTGATCAAGAACACGCAGTTCAGTGATTTTAGTAAAACTATCGTGAAGTTGATGTTAAGGCTTTTTGAATAAAAGTTGTATACTGTTTGATGAAAATCTGCGGTAGAAATCGGAATGCAAGTTCACATCAAACTTGTAGTCAACCCTATTACTATAACTTTACTGTGAGAACTTGCACGTTTAGTCTTGACGTTAAATTGCAAAGGAACTTAGGGTAAATGCACCAATTATTGACCGATTAAGGTTTTCTTTTTCTGTACTAAGCTATAAAAAATCTATTAACATATTAAAAACAATTTATAATGGATTTTATTAAAGTTGAATACTTAATTAATAATAATTAATAACTATTTATAATAAAAATTAACAAAATTATATTAATTTTGTTATTTGAATCTTGAAATACTAAAATCACCAATTATTGACCGAAGAAACCCAATAAATGACCGACCGTTCTGCAATTAATTGACCGTTCAAATAATTATAAGTAATTTTGTAAACTACATGTATGTAATTAAATTTATGGAGTACTTTTGAAGTATTAACGACATCTTTAACAAAACTAAACATACAATATAATTTTAAATCGTACTTTTTTATAAAATAATATAAATAATAGCAATAATTAACATAAAGTCACATTTATTTAGGTCACAAATAATCACAAATTCATTTTGATGACGATAATTCTTCTGATTCACTTGAAATTTTTTTATTCTTCTTCTTTTTTTCAATTAAAGCTTTTGTACTAGCTTGTAACTCTTTTTTATTTTTTTAATTGCTTAGCAATTTTTTCTTCTAATAATTCGTTCTTTGATATAACCGTTCACTAAAAAAATTAGAACAAAATAAAATTTAATAATCAAAAAAGATTTTAAGTATTATTTTAATTATAAATATACATTTTATAATGATTATTTTTATATTTACAAAATATTGAATGACTAAAGTACTTTAAACACTTGACAGATTTAATTTTAAGGTTAAGAAGTTAGTATTATAAATATACGGTCATTAATTGGACTGTGATAAAATGAGAGGGTCTAATAAATGACCGAATGAATTTTTTACTGGGTAAAGGGCTTCTGACGGATCCAATAGTTGACCGGTCTTAAAATAATATCAAAACTTATAATTTAACTTTATTTTTTCAAAAAAGTTGGAATCTGATCTTTAATTAATATAATAAAACTAAAATATTTTATATTATGCCGATAAATATCACTAAATTAATGATGAAATGCACTCACTCTCCAATGGTACGCTAGTTATTTTTGACCGCTTTATGGTTGGTTGCGTTGTAAACAAACTCAGAATATTTTTTTAAAGCTATAATCACTGCGCAATTAATTGCGTAATTTTTTATTATGATGATTAAATGCCATATTTTTTTATTTTAATACTTTAAGAAAAAAAAACCCTTGTAAAATATTAATTAATTAACTTTTTTATACATCGGTCAACTAATTGGTGACCGGTCAACAACTGGTGCATTTACCCTACTGTCAACTTAACTGAAACTTTTGCTTTTTCAACTCTATGCGAAGTTGGTTACCGATTCCGGACGCAGATCGACCACAGGTTTCAGTTAGCATAGCTATCTGGGTTCTTAGTTTAAGAGAATTGTATTTTGTGATTAAGAATTTTATCATCATATTGATCGAAGGTAATATACTCTTGTTCGAAGATGTAGAATTTTTTAAACTAAGAAAATGCGTTTCAAGACAAGAAATTCAGTTCTCTTCAAAATAATTTCCTTTTGGAACAAAATTATTTCTCGTGAATCAAGTTGTTTTTTTTTAGTATATAAATAGTAATAATAATAATAAGTGAACATGAATTTTAAAGTATAAAACATTAATACGCTACCAGAAATTTTTTTGACTAAGATACATTCTAGCTATGCAAATATAGTATAATTAGCTGTTTCACTAATTTTCAGCAATTGCACAGAACAAACACTGGTAACACAAAAAATGGATGTTTATATTTGACCCAAAACTCCTTTATTTTTTTTCAAGTCTTTATACGAATAAATATAAAATTATTAAAATGAGTTACTAACTATGTTTACCTTACACAGAGTTTCGAAGGGATGCTTGATGTACATTACTTGTTGTGCTGAGGTTAACAACTGCATATTTTATTATAATTAGGGGAGGGGGGGGGGGCAAAATGGGGTACTTAAGAAATCGCTATGATTTTCAGGACTTAAATACGCTGATTTTTCTCGTTTTCAGTCGTAATTAAAGAACAATAATCAAATTTCAAGTTGCCGTAGAAAAAAAATTTTTATTTTTTGCGGGCAAAATGGGGTACTCCCTGAAAAAGTGAAAAAAAAAAATTTCTTCATTCGAAAATGAAATATCGTTAAAAAAATAACATTTTCTTACCGATAAGTCTACGAAAGAACCCAAAGAGAGGAACAAATCACCCAAAAAAGAGACATTGTTAGTTGAAGCAATATACTTCTAACAAAAATTGAGGTAGTTAAAAAAATTTTTAAACTTTATAATAATTTTTGACGGGTTTCGCTTGAGTTAAAATAATATCAAGATAAAAAAAAGAGTTCTCTTGAGGAAATTCCCAGTTTTTGGAACTCCCAGTGGAAAAATTTTTAAACTCATAGTTCTCACGCAATTCAAAGTAATTGCACGAAAAAAAAAGATTCGTAATTTTTTTGCACTCTCTTTCTTGGTTTCGGGATTCAGGAAAATTTTTTTAAGTTGAATAATCTTGTAGGCCTGAAGATCTTACTTTTTAAATTAAATATCTCACAAGTGCACCAAATGATTTTGAAGAAATTGGCGGCCTCTGACTCAGTTTTCTGAACATTCGTAATTAAATTATGTCATCAAAAATAATTCGAGAATAAATTCGATGTTATTTGAAAGAGACACTTTTTTAAAATAATTAGTGTACGATTTCTCTTCAACACATCACCCGATTTTGATGCGGTTTGCAGCAGTCAACGTCGTTTTTTAAATTAAAGAACTGTTTAGATTTTGAAATTGATCGTTACATCTGTTTAAAAGTTGTTAAAAAAAAAAGTTATTTTAAATTTATGAGGAAGTCTAAGTTTCGCTGAACCTTATCAAATGACGCGATTGTCGTTCAAATCAGTGGAGCTGCTCAAAAGTTATGAGAGGTTAACACACGCACACACACACACACACACACACATGACTTCCCGTTTTTTTTTTTAAATCATTTCGCGTTACAAATGCCATAAGGGCGTACCAAAAAAATTTTTCGGGAATCGACGTAGTTATGCCTAAAACGGGCAGTAATGCAAAAAAAATTTTGGTACGCC